CTACTTCAAGGCTCAAAGGGGTTGAAGAGGGATTGTCATCCTTATATCTCCGGTGTTTAGGATTTGAAACAATGCCTTACATCATCAGCAGGGTTTCACTCGAAAGCAAAAGATTTGACGTTTCTGGTTCATCATCCTCCTCCCAATTCAAGAGATCGAGTAAAGTTGGCATTATAAATCATGAAAAAATACTTTTTATGAGTGAAACGAATGGATTTCTTCAAGACAAACATATGCATTACATAAATTATTAGAAACAAACAAGTTCGTACATGTTAAATATGCTTTCATAGTCAAAGAAAATACATATAGATAAACAACTGAATTGTCTGGCACGCCTATTAGGTCTCTGTATCCAAGTCTGGCATAGTAGTGGTTTCTTCCGGCAGAGTCTCCTTGGGATGAATCGTCTTGCTTGCCCCAGCCATATTGGTCACAGTTTTCTCAACAGTCTTCAATCCTTCCTTTTGAATAATCTTCCCAGATTCTTTGTCAGTCATGGTCACCGCCTTAGGATCACTGAAGTAAGGTGGACTAGGCTCCTGAGTAATTACCGGCTGCGGCTGATTCACTATAGAAGCAACTGGCTTAGACATGTTGAAAACATGCTTTGCAGAATTTGATCTCGGCAACGGGATCACCCTGCGAGGAGTCTTGGACTGAGAAACCTTGACAGCCCCATGATTTGGTAACGGGTCATTCTTGACATTCGACAAAGGATCATCAAAGTACAAAATCTTCTTTTCCATTAACTCCTTGACAATGTGCTTGAGAGCATAACAGTTTTCTAAATCATGGCCAGGCGCGCCCTCATGAAATAAACAATGAGAAGCGGCGTTGTAATTGGCAGGTAGAGGATTTAGAGGTGGACCCAAAGCCCTGGTAGTAATCAAACTTTGTTGCACTAATGAAGGGTACAACTCGGTGAAAGTCATTGGAATGGGAGGACAAGGTTTATACTGCTTCTTGTTCGGACCCTTTTGGCGAGGTGCCTGATTCTTCGACTGATATGCAGGAGCGTTGGGCGCTCGTTGATAGTTGGCAGGAGTTTGTGCAGGCTGATAACCCGGAGGTTGTTGATACACCGGAGGCTGATAAATAGGAGCCAGTTGCACAGGCTGATAAGCAGGCATTTGCTGGTTGAAAGCAGGTGTTACAGCAGCCCCATACGGTTGTTGAACGTACTGAACAGGATAACCTTGTTGTTGAATATAATTTGGCTAATGTTGATAAGGTTGATGAGTAGCCATTTCACGGTAGTATATGGCCGAGTGACTCTTCGGACAAGTAGTACCTTCATAACAGTCGAAACTCGGAGTCTTGAACTTTGGGGGAACACTTTGTTGAACTGGTTGAGCAATAGGAACCGCAGGAGGAGTCGACACAAGACCAGGTGGAAGACCATAGGGAGGTACATCTACAACAGTAACAGTTGGCTGAAGGTCCACAATATTACCGATAATCCCAGAAACAGCAGTAGAAGGAGTATCCATTCTCGCATTGATGGCCTGAAGCATCTCCATTATTTGCCCAACACTTCCCTTAAGGTCTTCAAGTTCATTTATGACACGATCAAGCTTTTGATTTTGTTCCGCCATCTTTTTCCAAGCTCGAGCTCTGGTGTTGTACTGATGCAGAGGACTCATGGTGACAAAACTGGAAGCGAGAGAACCGATGATGAGAAACTGGAAGGACAATGCAAAAACAGGATGCAAAATGCAATGCAAAGGTTTCAAGGATTTCAACGGTCGATTGCAAATATTTTCGAGGAAATTGTTGAAAATTTTTAGGTTTTGAAATTCAAGGTTTTTGGATTTGCAAAGGATAGTTGGATTCCTCGAAACCAGGAATGATATGATGCAAGATGTAATGCACAAGCACACAAAGGTCCTAGGTTATAGGAACAATGAGTGGAGTTAAGGTCTACCTATCCCCAAAATGTATGTACTATAGGTTAGTTATAACTGCAGAACAAGGGTTCTAAAAGGTCCCCAAAGTCATTAGCCCCTCCTTCGGATATTATCAACTTCCCAACTAACTTGGGGGTTAATAATATTCTCAAGAGAACTTCTTTTGAGTGTAGTATCGCGTAGCACTATTTCGGAACTACTCCCTCATAGTCTCGCATTACGTCCTAATAAAGGCCAAAGTGGGGTTTAAAGGTAACTACGGTCCTCAATATCACGGACTCCAATCAAAAATAGTAAAAGTTTTCACGACTATACTCGTTCAACCGAACTATTCTCGAAAGGGTCTCAACTGAGCGGTGATTCTCGAGTCAACTTGGTCGGGACTCACTCCCTATAAGCCTCGTCGAATATATCACCATCCTATCTTAAGTTCACTCAAGTCCGGGTGTAGGACTTTGTCTCACCACTCAAGGATCATCCCAAAAGCAATAGACAGATAAGCAAATAAGCAAACAAATATAATAAACAAGTTAGGGGAACCCACTGAAGAAGATCCCCAGTGAAGTCGCCATTTTCTGTTGCGGTGAAATTTGATGTCAAGTTATTGATTAACTTGAATCTTAATTCATTTACAACCGGTCTTTGATTTATCCGAAGGAAAGGTTAAATAAAAGGGAAAACCTATTTTGCATTGTAAACACAACGCGGGGAGATATCTAGGGTTTGGGGGTTGGTTAAGTTTAGGGAAGGTATTAGCATCCTAAACCTCTGTAGTACTCTACAGGAACCTCTTGTTTTAAATGTTTGTTATTGCTATGTTATCTGCTTAAGGGTATTGATAAGGGTAAGAGTGAAGAGAAAGACCTAATGGGTTAGTCCTAAGTATACTCGCCAAGACTCGCATCTTGTGCCTACGTATCTTGGGTAGGGGATGGAATCAGAGTATTCGTAGTTCCCCTCACAGAGGGAGATGAGGAACTTCTTGACTGTGGTCAAGGTTCCTGGGGGAAATAAACGTTCATAGGGAAACGCTTATTTTAGAGTGCGGCGACTCCAATTTCTATATTATAAGGTTGAATTGAAAGGGCGTGAGATAAGTATTCCACGGCGGGAAACTTATATGGAGTACGACGACTCCTAATCCTAAGGCTAGGATAAAAGGGATGGATGTCCATGGCGGGACGTCTAAGCATGAGTACGGTGACTCTAAGTTTTAAGTTTTAAGGAAAATGGCGGAATTGATTTTAGTTTAAGGAATTAGAGACTAAGGTTAAATATTTTTGTTTGGTTATCTACGTTATACGGTAATACTAGCAACTCAAATGTTTTGTGATTTTGGTATAAGGTTTAGCAGTTAGTTATTTTTGTTTATCTTTGTGAAATTTTATATATTTAAGAAAATGTTAGAGATTGGATTATAACAAGAATGCTAGATTAAGTAGTCCTAAATTAAATATGAGAGTTTTTATCTTTATCTAAGTTATTTGGGCAAAAGACAAATATTTTTGAATTTTAAAAGAGTATTTATATATTTTTTTTTGGGTTTTAAGTTATTAAGAAAAAAAGAAATTTTTAATTATATTTTTTTCTTTTATATTTATTATGAAAATGAAAAGTTAAATTAAATCATGAAATTGAACATAAAACTAATTCAAAATTAACTTGATAACTAATTATTTTTATTTTATTTTATTATTAACACTTAGAGTTTTTATTATTTTTAACAGGAGAAATTCATTTTTTAATTGAAAATTTGTTTTTATATTATTAAATTAAAGTGATCAGATTTTGAAATAAGATTAGTATTCAAAGTTGGTAGTTAGTTATCGTTAGTAGTTAGTTTATTTTATTATCAAATTTAAAAATTACAAAGAAATATAAACAAATAAGATAAAAACAAAAAAATATAAAAACAAAAACAGTAAAAAATAAAATGGGTTGGGCCGATGGTGATGAACCTATCGGACCCAACCGGTCCGGCTACAACAAGGGAAAAGGGGGAAAGGGTTTTGTTGGAAACCCTAAATCGACATCCCCAGCGGCGCATCTCTTCCTCCTTTCGTCGATTGTCTTCTCCTTCCTCGACTTCATCTTCTTTTTCTCACTGTTTTCCTTCCTCTGCTTCACCTGTATAAATAAACTCAACAAAGTTATTAATGTTAGCAGCAATAATCTCACGTTTCTTAGATTTTCGCAGGTTTCGAGAGTGGTGGCGGATTCACGATGGCGTTCGCGATGTATTCGACAGCGACTCGTGAAGGATGGGTGGTGGTTAGTGATTTCCGGTGGAGTGATTTTCGTCGGTGGTTTTGACGGAGTTTATTGAAAGGTTTCATGGCGATGGTGAATGAAGATGGTGGATTCACGGTGACGGCAGAAGAAGAGATAAGCTTTCAGCTCTCTCTCATTTTCGTATTTTAGGGTGTCTTGATTTAGGGATTTTTTTTCGTCCTTCTTGTGTTTAGGTTTGTGGCCGTTCTTATAGCCTTTTCAATTCTTCTCCTAGTGATTCTCTCTTAAAACTTAAGAATTTATTTCCAAATTCGGATGAACATTTCCAAACCAGTTTCGGAAACAATTTAATGTTGTTAACTCTCTGTTTTAAAGGCTGTGAAGAAATTGATATGCTGATTGATCTTGTTTTTTTTTCAAATTTGTCTAGTTTAGTCTGAATAACAAATTCAATGAATCTGACCCCGTGATTTCTCTTAATATCTGCAGGATTTTTTTATGCCATCCTCAACAATAAAAGCACAGCCCAAACATTGAACACGCTCGTGCCCTAAAATGCTCCAAGAGTTCCTCGAGCAATTCCCAACATCCAGAAGTTATTAATTGGAAATCTTCTTAGTTTCGTAGGAGGTAAAACAACGACTTTCATCTCTGAATCATTTTCACAATTTGTTGTTGGGATTTTAATTTCCATGTTTCTATGCTTTGCGTAGGCATTGAAGGGTTTCGGTGCTTAGGACTTCGGACGTCAACCAAAAGCCTGGTCTGAACTCTCTAAAGCTGCTAACAACAGACTGTCATGATTCTGGGAACAAACTTTCAAGGTTTTCTACTGCCCAATGTTGAGGTTTCGTATTTTCACTGCCCATTGTTGTTGTTGTTGGCAGAATTGTTCTTGTTAACACCTTGCATATCCATAGAGGAATTGGTTATGCTACCTACGAACCCTAGTGTCTGAGAGCTCAACTGAGGACCTGCTAGACAAGCTTCGGGATTACCGGTACTCATGCCATGAATTGCCCCCGAGCTCATCCGCTGAGGGCTCAATGGAGTTCGTTGATTCATTTGCTGAGGGCTTGCTTGCTGAAGTGATTGTTGGCTCAAGGGTGGAACTGTGGTTGTGAAACAACTGCACGTAATTGCGAAGTTGTTTCTTCTTGTTGTAGTGGATGTTATAATTGCATCTGCGGTTTTTGGATGATGTTCTTACACACTTTGCGGATGAAGATTTGCTGTTAGCTGTTCTATAGCCACTTCCCTTCTTTATTACTCTTTAACTCTTCCTTTGCTTCTATTTGCAGAACATGGTCGCAACTTTGGTGGCTTGTCTCTGAGTATTATTGAAATAAGTTGGGACCATAACGATAACATCATGGGTTGTCTTTCCACGGAATGCTTCAACGGTTTCCTTCATTTTAGTCAGAATTAAAGCACTAACTTCCTCAGGGATGAACACTTTGGTTTCAACATCCTTATGAACAATCTTGTAAGGAACAAACTTCACATCTCTCTGGACTTCCTTATCTTCAAATTTTTTTTCTATAAGTCTCTTAACATCAAGATGGTTCTTTCAGGGTTAACAGCTGTTGCCAACTTCTTTGCAGCCTCACCATATGAGTCTTTCGCTATCAGTGAAAAGAAAACATGATGGAGTGATACGGTTACCTTGGTCATTGGCTATGATTTCAACATGACCATTCTTGTAAACACCAACACACGAATGGATTGTTCCAAGATCACCCCCAATAACCGTGACCGGCCTGAAAACGATGGAGCCATGGTGGTTTGTTGTGATTAAAACCTGTTAATGACTTTGAAATTACTCTATCATGCTTTTGTTAACAGGAATGAAATTGATGGGTGTTAGGGGCTGCCATGTCCTCATGAAGACAACTCTCACATCCAACACATATCATTAATATTGCATGAGTAAAATGCTTTTTATTTTCATGGTTTTGGTGTAGTTAAGCTTTGGCAACCGATAACTACTGAATAAACGGCAATTTGCAGGTGCCTTCGCGGGCGTCAGGAAGAAACACTTCAACTTAATTGGATTACAACGGCGTGTACACTTACCGATATTATATCCAACCGTTCACCGGTGGTTACCCATGTATAGCGATGAGAATTCCCTCTGACTTCTCCAAAATGGTTGATACCGTTTTAGATTAATTCCTTTCTGAGATAAAAAACCTGCAGCACAACCCTCTTTATTGAAAGCCCGCGGGACTGATCCGAAGAATGGAGAGGTTTCAAAACAAGAAGACGTGCGCACTTGGCAGCAGTTAACTCGCAAACGACGCCGGTGAATTCAAGGCAAATGCAGACCTTATGGATAACTTTTTCTTATATTAGTTCTCAAAACGTGATTGTTATTGTTATGCTCAGGTTTTCCTCGTGGGTGGAATCATTAGAAGGCAACCTAACAAGTTCATCTCCGGTAATACTTGAAGAGGTTTTTGGTATGCCCTCAACCTTTTTTGTGTCATCTTCAAAGGGACAGATTGGCGGCACCATTACCGTTTCTTGATACACAATTATTTAATGCAGGAGTAGCAATTTGAAGCAAAAGATGGAGCTCGGTGACTTCGCCGGATTTGCGAGCAAATACCGGAAAATAGTATTGTGGTGAGCTCTTTCTATTAATTTTCTGAACTTTCATTCTGTTACCAAGTGCACTTCACTTCTTCCTGACTTCGTCTTGTATGCCTTGTGTTCAGATTATGATGTGGTTACGAGAAATGACCTAAAACTCCAACCTTACAAGGAATGATGTTTCGTAATCGTGGCCGAGGCTTCTCATGTGAATATTCTGCAGACTCATAATCTAGCGTACGAAGAGAACAAGAAAAAACTGTAGCCGGTGAACTATAGTAACGGTGCAGGTCCAAGATTTGACATCGTCGGCGTATTATTTCGGCAAAGTATTGAATGCTACTTCTACTTTTATTGACCATGTTTGAATGTCTGTCCTATTTTGATGAACACCTCTGAACTGACTGCTGTTTTTTTCTTCATGATTTCCTCTAGGGTTTGACTTGCTAAAATGGCATATGAGGCTTACTGAGGATAAGGTGCTTCCACCACATACGCAAGCGGCGCAAACTGAAATAATCCCGACTAATAGATCACAACACGAGCAACCATCCAAACCGTATGATGTCCTGATGAGGTCATAGCCAGCTTTTGGCCATGTTAGTCTTTGCAACATCGTGCGCTATGTCTTGATGTCTTGTGTAAACATTTTTTGTAGAATAGGGTGTAATGTATTTTAGCTTTCTATTTTGTCTTCAAAACGCTACTGTTCAGTTACCGCAGGTGGAATTTCCTTTAAATAAATGTAACCATCAAATTATGTACTTCCTTGAGTCTGGAGAGAAACTTTATTCTGGGGACATGAAGGAAACAAAAATTTTTGGAGTTACATTATCCTTTATGAAGAACATGGATTAGAAATCCTTTAACACACCTTGCCCTCCCATGACATCAGCTCAACGTTTGGTGAGCTTGATTTTTTTCACATGAACTACAACGCCTGTATCCACTAATCAAAGGTATAATCCTTTTACAGAACAAAATAACATGAGTTATTCATCCACCGTGCCGAGCAATGGCATATTGAAATTCCAATACCGGTTTTAGCACAACAACCAAATAATAGGATCCGAATCCCATCTTGCAGTTATCAATCAAATTCTGGCAAATTGTGTCTTGGCAATAACTGGTACATTTTGAAATTAAATATGATAAAGATGTTCATATGAGAACTAAAATGTAAATTCTTTGTAACTTCGGTATGGAGCTCAAAATGGGCCATGGCGTCTCATATCATTTTTGAGCTGCCAAAAATTCAAGTTTTCCTTTATGACGAGTGACAATCCAAACTCCGCAAATGAGACTAGCTACGCCTTGAGAAATCTTTCAAAAATTAGGGGCATCACTTGTAACTTCTCTTATCATGAGAATTTGACTGATCAAGTTCGAGACCAATGGACCGACAGCGAACACCAATCCTCCCTGGAGGGAGTCTTAAGAAATCTTTGATGGAAACCTAGTTTCACACCACAAAACAAACAACTGGTTAAAAATGTTTAGAAGATAAAAAAAAGAACTAGTGAATCTAAAGGTAAAATTTGGGGTATGACAACATGGCTCGTTCACTCACCAACCAAAATTTTCAATGCTTCTTCATAGCTCTTAACACACAGCTGCAAAATAAGCAATGAGATATTTACCGCAATTTGATATGTTACTAATCCATTAATTTTTTGTGAAATTTCATTTATACTTTAATTTTCTTTTTTTTTAATTCTCCTTTGGTCAATGAAAATCTAATATTATGGATTATCAAGTAATCTTGAGTAAGATGAGACCTATTTCATTTCAATTTCCATTTTCACCTCCTTTCTCTCTTTCAATTTCTTTTTCTTTTTCGATTTTATTTCGTTTTTCGATCTATGAAGTCTTTCGATTCGCGAGCGTTGGTTTTCAAGGTTGATAACCTTCATTATTTCAAATCTGTAGAAAATGATCATTTGGATTTCTATACTTTGGGATCGTGAGAGGTTTTCCTCGATTAATTAACACGAGTTTGTGATTAAGATGAGATCCCATCCTCCTTTTGTCCGTGCGACATGATTAAATCGGAGAATGATCCTCAATATTATTTCTCAATCTTGTTTTTAGCACGGATATCAATTTACACGACCTCCTATAGTTTGACTTTCTTCATAAGTCGAGCTACGACGGTTTAGCATTACATTTTGTCCCGATTCAATTCAATAACAAACTAATGACTGACTTTACTTTTCGTCAATATACAACTGCTTTATTTCCAGTCAAATATACCACTGTTTTATTTTCAGTTGATATTATCTTGATTTATATTATCTTGTTCATATACTCGTTGATATTTATCTTGATATATTATTGTGAATATTCTTGTATATATTGTTATATATCTTGTATATTATTCATATCTTGTATATATTCATATTCATTTCCTCATCTTATTCACATTCTTTCAAAACACCTAATAACTATCGAAACCATAAAATCCTAAATTGGTGGACTGTTGGTTGTTTGTCTGAGTGACGGATCTTTGGACTTTGTCAGAAACCCTAGCTTGGAGTTGTGTTCAACTTTTGCTCGAGGATTAGTTTAGGACACATTGCACACACACGGCTTCCTCTTGGGCTACTTGACAACGAGATCTTTTATTTCGTGCAATACCGTGTAATTTGCATGTACCTCTCTCTCATTTCTGATGTACGCTCTCGTATTTCTTTTATTATGGTTTATCTTCTAGGAGCACCCCTAAGGAATAGCGTAGATTAAACTGTTTTCAAACTAATTCTCGATTCATCATCGAGCCATTTTTAAACACCCCTCTGTAATTCGATTGCTCGTCCGCATTCGCCATCAACCTATTGCACACACTGTCACACTTCAATGTGGTTTTGATATTAGGAGCACCACTAGGGACTAGTATCGTTTCTCACACCTTAACCCTTGATTCGTCATCAAGCCGGTTCCGTTTTCAATCAAAACCCTCGACCCGTTGTCGAGCCATTTTCAAACCCATTTCCGTTCCACCACGGTTTTTGCACGCAAATATAAGTCAAACCCTTGATACAACTTCAAACGGATTTTCTCCACAAACCATTAAATCAATTAACAATTATTTAATTCATTTTAGAATAAAAAGAGGGAGAGTCAAGTCTTTGACTCTTTCTCCCGACTACTTGGGCCCGAGGAGCCTTTCTTAAGTTTCAAGTAATTGTCATCCAAAACCAATTCACCACCTTTTATTTTTTACAACTTTTCTCCATTTCTCTTTTTCTCCTAAAAACCTTGGTCTCGTACCAAGTGCATTTTCAAAACTCTCTTCCTAATAAACTTGGATGGTTGTGGAGTAGTTAAGCGTAGGCCTTCTCCTATCCCGAGTGCTTGACATTACCTTTAGGGTTCACTGTCGTAAAACACTTACCATTCGAGATCAAAACATCTTTAATAAGAGAATGAAGTTCTCTTTGCATTGAACTAAAGAGAGAGGATTGAGTGCAGACTTCTTCCTCTCTGAGTGTCAGAATACTCACTGTAGAGTGTGTGGTCTCGATACTCGTCTTTCAATACGAAGACGTAACTGTACTCGCCACACTATTTTTATAATAAATCTTTTGAGATAAAGAATTGGGTACTACCCGCAAAGGGGTTACTATCCGAGAACCTATTTCACCCTTAAAAATAACTTTCACAAATCAAATGTGACATCTTGCCTCGATGGCGAAAACTACCTCTTTTCAAAAGGATATGTCACGTCCGTTCTACCGCAAACAGGTAACGCCTAAGACTCCATAAGCGAGCTACAATACACCTAACTGCTAGAATGCGCACATTAGAGTCATCCACAAAAATACTAGTAAACCGTAGGCCGAACTACGGCTGCTCTGATTTCTCAGGCCTGTTGAGAATACGTAGGCATAGAATTGCGATGATCCTAGCGAGCACTTTTCTTTCTTTTCCACCTTTAGTCCCCCGATCTCCCTTGGAAAAGGACATGTTACGTCTGTTCTACCGCAAACAGGTAACGCCTAAGACTCCACAAGCGAATTGCAATACACCAACTGTTAGAATGCGTATGTTAGCATCGCCTACCAGAACTTCCCAGTTAACCGTAGGCCGAATTACGACTGCTCTGATTCTTTACTTCTTTTAAGTGAAGATACGTAGGCATGAGGGCCCCAATCCTTGCCGATCACACTTTCTCATCTATATCCGTAGTCCTCTGAACTACGTTGACTCCGACTTTCTCATACCTATGAGAATACGTAGGTATAGGATCGCGATATCCTATCGAGTCTCTTCTCCCCCTTTATCTCTCTCTTCCCTATTTCTAGCCCTTCTCTCTATCCCTTAGAACACTATTTATAGCAATAAGTCTTTAGTAGATACCTTTACACACAGATAAACAAATGGTTCCCATCGAGTACGATGGATGTGAGGGGTGCTAATACCTTTCCTTCGCATAATCGGCTTCTGAACCCTTTCTCTTGGTTGCGAGACCATCTTATCTGTTTCATCTTAGGGTTTTCTCGATGTTTTCTCTTCCCCTCATGGGATAAATAAAGTTCGATGGCGACTCTTCTGTCCTTCCGTTTTCGCCTCTCCGTCGTTGCATTTTCGAGTAGCGACAACTATTTTACAATATGATCCTGCTTAAATAAAACACTTAAGCTCCCGATCAAAGACAACTTCAAAACTTTAAGTTCATTTCTTTGATAATGTTCATAAGTTGATCTCTGTCCATACTATCATAAGAGTTTTACGTGACACTTTTTTATTTAAGATTTTTCATTTGATGATGTTCATAATAATTTTTGTTTTGTTGATAATTTAATGTTCATAATAATTGATAATGTTTGACCATGTTAAGTCAATCATGAAAACATACCCAAACATAAAATTATATTTTCAACCTGCCCTTATTTGAATAATTGTGATTCAATTTAATTTATTACATTTTTTTAATCAAAACCATATTATATAATTAAATCAGGCAATTGAATATGTCTATTATGCAATTTGATTAGTGATAACACAATCTAATATTCTTGTTGATGTGATTATGAAGCCGGTTTCTAGAATTAATGGTAAAAAATTTAAAATATTAAATTATTTATTCATTTAATATGTTAGACAATTTTTTTAAATGTTGTTGATTTATAAATATCAATAATTTATTATATTATTAAAAAATGTTTATACACATCTAACTCATTATATCAATTGAATTAACTCCCTCATTCTCTAAATAAATCTTTCTTTTTTTTTTTTAAATTCTAAAATTCAAATATTCGATAATCAAATACTAACGCAAGAAATGATATAAGTTTTCCATCCTATAAAACACACACTAAACATTTATTGTATGTTTTGGAAACCATCTCACTAATGTTAAATTAGTTGAGGTATTTGTATTTGCTTATTAATTTTTTTAGTTCTTTAGAAAAGTATATATATTTTATTTATAGATCAAAGTTTTAAAATTTGGGAGGATTTATCAGAAGAATAAAAGAAAATAGGTTAAGTTAAAAAAAACATATAAAATAATGTGGAATCGAAAGGGAACGTGGGAGAGAGAGAGCCGAGAAACACTATGCAGCACACACCACTCAAGCCCGGTCCCCATATCTGTTCCAACCAATAACATCTCTTGTTTCCATATCTTTTATCTTTTCATTTTTCTCTTCATTTTCTATTCCCTTTCTTTCTCTCTCTGACCAAATTTAACTTCCACTCTAATAATGATAATTATAATAAATAAATTAATAAATATGTGCAACTGGATAGCTGATTCGATGGTTCTAAATTGCTGAACTATACATTTTTTTTATACAATCTTCATTCTTCAAAGCTGCAAAGTTTTAAGGTATTCTTGATCCATTTACTTAGCTTTTATAATTCTTTCAATTCAAATTTTCTGAAATCCTTTTGGTGTCTACATTTGGTTTTCATTTGTTACTTGCATGTTTTCTTGTTGAGATCCTGAATGATTGTCTGTGTGTATTTATCAGACAAAGCTTAGGAAGTTTCTGAAAGCAATAGGTGCAGTTGAAACTGTTAAGAATCATTGGTGAATTTGATGGTATAATAATAATAATGGTTACTGCAGCAGTTATTGGTCTGAGTGGAGGAAAGAGGCTATTGAGTTCCTCTTACCATTACTCAGATATTGTAGAAAAGTTTTCTCATGCCTCTGACTTTGCCTCCACACAGTGTCACCTTCCTCCTTCTAAATTTTTAATTCTTGCGAAGAAATCATCAAAATATACTCCAACTTTTCCAGCATCTGAAAGGCAGAATCACTCCATAAAAGCTCTTAACGTTGTTGCTGATTCAGAACAGCGGTTTCAGGGATGCACTTCTATTGACTTAGAGGTGGAAACATCTGGCATTGAAAATTATTCTTTGGAGGCTCTTCTTTTGCTGCAGAAGTCAATGCTGGAAAAGCAATGGGGTCTTTCATTTGAAGGGGAACTATTAACCCATAATTCCAGGAGGGAAAAAATCCGGAGGAAGCTGCCAGTCACTTGTTCTGGTATGTCTGCAAGGCAAAGAAGAATGAATATCAAGAGGAAAATCACTTCTAAAAGTGCTTCCGCAATCATGCAGATGAGGTCCACAATCTGTCCCGAACTGATTCAAAACCGTTTCAAGGGATATGGATATGTCAAAGGTGTAGTGAGTGACAAATTGCTCTCTCATGCTGAAGTTGTAAAGCTATCTGGGAAAATAAAAGCTGGCCTTTCCTTAAATGACCATAAATCCAGGTAATTCTATGCATTCACACAAATCATCAAAAATATGCTTTTATTTTTGTAGTTTTCATTCTTGTGTAATTAATTGTACAAGTTAGTGAGTGATTTTCTTAGATACTTGAAAAATGCAGCAAGCTAAGGGATCACTTCAAACTAAATTTTGAATCTCACTATTTTTAAATATTATTACATGAGTTTCAGACTGAAGGAAAGATTAGGATGCGAACCTTCTGATGATCAAGTTGCAACTTCGTTGAAGATTTCCCGAGCTGAACTACGAACTAAAATAATAGAATGCTCTTTAGCGATAGAAAAGTTGACTATGAGCAATGTTCGCTTAGTTACGTCCATTGCTCAAAGATATGATAATATGGGAGCTGAAATGGCTGACCTTGTTCAGGTAATTTAGACATTTTTGTTTCAACTTCATATATCTTGTTAGCTTGGTTTCTTCCTCTGTTTTTAATCACTCCGCATTCACCTTGTTTTCTCTATAGGGTGGTTTAATTGGGCTACTAAGCGGGATTGAAAAATTTGACTCTTCAAAAGGGTGCAAGATTTCAACATATGTTTATTGGTGGATACGGCAGGTGAGGTTTACATTTCTATGAGAATTTTCCAAACATGCTTTTTTGTATGGCTTCTTATTAGATATCTTGTTTTTTTAAATAAAAATTGTCATAAATTCACCATTTTATACCTCTGCGAATACAAAGATGGTAGATGGGAAAATGCTTTCTTGAAACCTCTTAAAGTAATTTCTGTAAAATACAGCTGTTTTCAATTTTTTTACCACATAGCTTCTATTTTATAATCATCGTTAATCTCTTGCAGCCATAATTTCTGCATGATTTTAGGTTGAGAGAATTCATTTTCTGCATTGTTTAATCTTGTTTCTGTTTTCCTTTTCGTTAGTTTTGGAATGGTACATAACCGTGTTCTCTGAGAACTCAGCACTAGGGAATTTTGCAACTAAACTTTGTCTGAGCTATGTTCCTAAATAAAAATTTTTTTGGTGACAGGGTATTTCAAGAGCTCTAGTTGAGAACTCACGAACATTAAGATTGCCAATTTATTTGCACGAGAGGTTATCTTTGATCCGCAATGCCCAGAATAGACTCAAAGAGAGAGGAGTCACTCCAACTATTGATGTAAGTCAGCTAAATGTACAACAAAAAAGCAACTGCAATCTTTATCACTATTTCAAAAGTTTTAAAGTAAGCCTGCCTTAACTGTTTCCTTATTTTGCAGAAAATTGCAAAATGCCTTAATATATCTCAAAAGAAAGTTAGAAATGCTACTGAGGTAACAAAATCATTGAGAGTTACATGAGCCACATACAATTAAATTTAGTATCCTATTGGCTATATTTTTCATTTTTCCAACATCTATATATATATTTGTGTGCTTTGCAGGCTAGCAGCAAAGTTTTCTCCCTTGATAGGGAGCCATTTCCCTCTCTGAACGGTCTTCCAGGAGACACACATCATAGTGTAAGCGTTACGTAATACTTTTTTCTACATCAAGGAAGATCTTTGCCCATTCCTTTGATTGTTTTTCCCAAAATATCAACTGTCTCACTCTTTTCATCTTTTTACTCACAGTACATTGCAGATAAACGACTTGAGAACATCCCATGGAATGGAGTAGATGAGTGGGCTCTAAAGGTAATAAAGGAAAATATCTGAATTAAACCTGTCTTGATTGCAGAGCATAAGCATTTCATTGCTGAAAGCCAATGATTGTTTGAATGCCTTCTACTTCTATTCTGCAATGCTCTTTAAATCAATCATTCTTTAAGCATGTGTGTGCATGTAAATTTAATGGTGGAGTCTGTTATTACGTCTGGATGATAATTAGCATCAAAAACCAAAACTGATGTATTAGAAAGGGTGATTTTAGAGACCAGAAGCTATATTACATACTTTTTTCTTGAAATGATAATGATAATGTTGATATAATAGCTTATCTGTTTTATGTTTCATGAAATTTAAATTGCAGTATTTCATGTTCTAAACTCCCATAAATAATAATACCACTTGCAAATATTTACAGGAGGAAGTGAATGGGCTCATTAATGCGACCCTTGTGGAACGAGAGAGAGAAATTGTTCGTCTTTATTATGGACTGGATAAAGAATGTCTTACGTGGGAAGACATAAGTAAACGGTGAGTTCATCTGCGACATTCTGTTGCTTCTTTTACTTAAGTGATCATTTTAGAATTTCTTTAATTTCAATGACTCATGTGTTATATTATATCTACAGGATGGGTTTGTCGAGAGAAAGAATAAGGCAAGTTGGACTTGTTGCATTAGAGAAACTAAAACATGCCGCAAGGAAGAAGGAGTTGGAAGCCATGCTTTTGAACCATTGATATGCTGGACTCTTCAGAGACATGTATATATACAGAACAGAAAGGAAGCATGTACCTAAAAATTTGACTTCCTGATAAACATAGACGAAAGAGGACGATATAAGGGAACATTGAAGGTTCATAAATCTCCTAAAAAAATTGTCTTTTGGAGTAATTATGTTTTATCAAATATGTTGAAGGATTAATTATATAGATTTCAACTTTCCATTTCAAAATTACGAGGTGACTGTTTCCTAGGAAGACTTATATTGTATCTAGAGTTTCACGAGCCAGATACAATTATGTTGATAGTATGAATAGCATTTAACATTTACTTGTCAATATGTCTATCGTAGGTATAGGCTGCAATTCCAAAGTATCACTTTGAGGTGTTAAATATCTATGAACTTCTCAGTAGACTAGTTTTAGTTTTATACTCGCTATGAGTTTTTCTGCAGAAGAAGAAAAGAAACATAGTATCTGTGTAGAAGTGGAATTCTTGAACGAATTGAAACTTATTAGTAGTTACAAGATGCCTTCTATATGTGGTCGCAAGTTTACAAGCCAATACTCCTATCTTAGTAGAGACCTTGGTGAAATAATTGCTAATAGAGACACTGTCGTACACATTTCAACAAGCTTATTGCACAACAAGGTTGTAGATTGAGTAATGGGGATTGCTTATTGCTCCTTTAGTGGTGCTTAAACATTATCTGGAAAATCAAAATTTCTCCTCAAATACATAGATGTATTTTCGGACGCATCATGTAATATCCTGTATAATAAATATCTAAAATAATACCATACAAGTGTTTCATTTAATACTAACACTATCATAAGTGTCTATTGACATAATTCACATACTTGACCATTTCTAAAATATAAAACACAATCTATGATACAAGACATGGAAATTAGCCAAAACAATAATATCTAAGATCAGGGTACAATATCCTTCATTGTACAAGAAAATAATACACAGCAGAATAAACTCAAATTAAGCTTCTCTTGAAACACCCAAACATATCTCCACTTGTAAATCATACATGCAAACAATGTCTCAAAAACAACAATAATAATGGGGTGAGATAATAATCTCAGTGAGTTCTCCTATCTTATGGGTTCACTCGGCTCTATAAGGTTCTAACCAATTTCTATCTCAAGTTAAAAGGGAAAGGGAATAAGACTTTAGTTCACACAGTTCGTAATGTATGGAAACATGCCTCTTGAGTTCACCAACTCAAACAATCACTAATCGAAAACCTTACCAAGGCATCCCCTTTTCCCGTCCTCTCCTACGTCTAAGACTTTCGGCCCGAGTCATAGATCCTTGTAATGTACTTTGGCATACGAAATGAATTCGGATTCAAGGTTATTCCCACATGAATCGTCACTTTCCATGGGACCACCCCCATCTCAAGTATCTTACCCATATGCTCAATTTGTACTCACACACGGGACAAATGAATGAATTCGAATTTAAGGTTATTCCCACATGAATCGTCACTTCTCATGAGACCACCCTCATCTCAAGTCTTTTCCCCGTAGACTCCATTCATTTATGGGATCTCCTGCCAAAGTAATAGTGCATACATTCCAGAGGAGTGCTCTGCATAAGCCTCACTCTTGGAGCGACACAACTCAAAGGATTGGTTCCGACTACGTGATCACACATAAACATGATTGTATTCGACAATCGCAAGGCGACACTTTCACCTTATTCACAAAGTAACACAACCTAAACATGTTCCATACAAAGCTCTCCTCACAACTAGAGAACTTCTTACCGATGATACACACCTAGGCATCATGGCATCAGCATTTCCATCTATTTTATTCATCATAACATAATCATTTACTAATTCATTTCGTTGATTAATATCAAGTTTTCCACACCATTCTTATAGCCTTTTAAGCAAGTTATCACACAATCAAAATATACATATATCATACATCATGTCATAACACAATGGTATATAGCAATATCATTCATGGAACACACATAATAGCATAACATGTCAAACATAACCAACATAGTAGTTCACATACGTATAAAGGTATACAAGCCACTACTATCCTCTACTGAACAACCTTGATTAGTTCATGGTCTCACACCACCATATAATAGCACATTGCTTTCTCTTTCCAAGACTTCAAGTCTCATATCAATCAGATTCTCGATTCTTGAATTACGGGAAAACAAGCATCATATTATTCACATTATTTTCAATTCCATTTCTATTCTATCAATCAATGAAATAAATCCATGTTTCTACTTCACTATCACATAGAGCATTGAAGTATCTTTTCAATGCTTTCGACCGTATCTCATTCTGAATTACGGTTCTCAAGTTATGACCCAAACAATACAAAGAGAAAAACACAAATGCAGTCGAGTGCGCTAAGCGCAGTTTGCAGCGTGATTTCAGCCCATAACAGAACCAAAATGGCTCCAGGCACACTAAGCGCCATCAAGGTGCGCTAAACGCAGTCCCTTGCGACCCCAACTTCTAAAACACCCAAATTTCATGATTCTACTCCAAAATTTCACGATTTTTGCACCCCACAACATCAATAGGCATGTAGAACAACAAAATAACATCAGACACCACATGAAACAACATTTGATTCAATTTCAACGCAAAACCTAACCCACTAACATTCTCTAAATTTCTCCCCAAAAGTTATACTATCTAATGGAACTCACTTCTTGAAGATGAAGATGAAATGATGGTGAACATGATGAATGATGAAGACTTCCTCTTCTTCCACTTCTAGATTTTCTTCTTCTTTCATTTTCTCTTCTCTTTTCTTCTCTTCTTCTTACTAGCTTTCTTCTTTTTTCTATTTTTTTTCCACCACACACACACACACAATATTATATAATGGGGTAAATATCTCCAATTGATATTTTGTCATCCAACACCAATTGACCAATCATTAGAGTTACCAAAATATCCTCTTTTGTACTTATCAATATTGGTCCGTCCCTTTTATAATTAGTTGTTCTCTTCAGAGTTCACTAGTTACTATATTGATCCTAATTAACAATAGAGCACTTAAGAGATTCCATTATTCCAATTAACAAGGATAGAGTGCATAAGAACTAAGTTGATCTTGTCTGATATTCAATTTAGAATTAAAGGAATATGGAGTATTACAGTCTCCCCCCTTAAATTGAAATTCGTCCCCGAATTTCCTCTACTCAACTAAAACCACTCTTGCATGACCGTCTTGGATTTACACTTGACTTCACTTTAGTTAAAACTTCTGACGTACTCAAATTCTAACTTACCTTCATAGATCAATTCCTTCTTTCATAAATTCCCAACTTCACGGTCTTGACTATACTAAGTTCCAATGATGGTTAACTTCTAACTTTGCTTTTTTGTAATTCATCTGTCATTCCATCTTAAAACATTTGGTCACATCTACTTGTAGGAACTACAACTCCATATTCTTCTACTGAGTCACAAGAACATAACCGCGACACCCCATCTTGGCTTGGGATAATCAACGCTCATCAAATATTCACGAGAAAATTCAGTGATTCCTTATCTTCATGCAAAATACTAGCGACTATCTTTTCTTAAATCTCCCAACCATTAGAATAACTTCATAAACCATTGACCGGTATCCTTATCAATCCCACTTGATCTGATACTATGCACTGTAACCATTACACCCGAGGCTTCAACTATCCCGTACTGTACCAATAGGATATCAACCTTAGCATGAGATTATCTTACATCCATCCTTACGAGAAACTATCCCTCTGATCCTTATTAATCCGACTAAACTCTTTCATCTGTTACCTTCCACTGTGCAACTTTGATTCAAACAGTGGAACACCTCAAACTCTTAAGCACTACCCGATTGCTAACAGTCTTCATAGAAGCACAATTACCCATTGGAGTGCCTACTAACCAAACGGTACAAGAACCTTACTGACATCCACTAGTAGGATAACGTCCTTGCTAACACACAATATTTAGCATAGGTTCCATACCTTCCAGACGATAGATATGCAGGAATCACATGACTACAACCATAAACATATACAACCTTCAAATCCATTATGAGTTTGAAGCAATTTATCCAAATTAGCATAACAACTTCTAGTTTTTGGTCATTATCTTCCATATCAATCCTCTTTTGGAATTCTGCTTCATCACAATTTCTATTGACACAAGATCTCAACCAATAACAACATAACACCCTCACGGAGCTTCAAATCATCTGCGAGTCACCATTCCCAAAACTTAAGTCATCTATAACATAATTGTCAGTTCACATACTACTCACTGATTCACACACAACACTTCACACTCACACACTTACACACATGGAGGTCACCCTACACTTCTTAATCAAATTCACTTCATTCGATCGTCCTGATCCATATATGATTTTAGTCACATGCTTAACTTCGAAATGTCTAATTCCCACCATTACTTTGGCCGGACACTTTCAAAATCCTTCAACTGGGTAAAGTACAACTACACACATCCGATACCGCTCCCACAGAGTCTATGTCTGATGCCATGAACTCACAAGAATTAACACACACCGTATTCCAACTAACCGTTTACACCTTGCTAACACATATACACAAGTGCCGAAATATCCTCTACAAGATCATCACTTAGTGAGTCTCTTCCAACTTCACCCTTAAAATTCCTTGTAGTCATGATAGTGACATATCCAAGATTTAACCACACTGAGCGCGGTTTATTAGATTGTTTTCCCCAAACATCAAAATCCCTTGGCTTCTATACATATAGTCCACTATGCAAAACTCCTCCAGGAACTCCAATTAACAAAACCAACAATCCGGCTTGCACAAATACGCATGATCATTTTCAACTCGCGCCTTTCTAACTTGCATAATAGTCACCAACCATGATCAACATGAGGTGACATAGAGCAAGGTTAAAACATGCAGATGACTCACTCCAACCAGAGGCAAAGCAAAAATACAAGGTTCTGTCACGTTCGCACAACGAGCAGCTAGCGAGCTC